CCCGCCCCCGCCCGCGCACTGAGGTGAGGGGGTGGGTGCCATGAGCCCCGGGCCGGCGGGTGCCCTGCTCGCGCTGTGCTGCCTGCTGGCCTGCCTGCTGGACACGGCCTCGCCGCAGGCCCTCGCCACGGCCACGACCCCACAGGCCTCGACCCGCCAGGCCCATCAGGTCCACCGGGCCCCCACCCCGTACAAGAAGAACATCACCATCGGCTACCTTACGGCCGTCAAGGGAGACCTCAAGGATCGTCAGGGGCTGGCCGTGTCCGGGGCGCTCACCATGGCCATCGAGGAGGTAAGCAGCGTGGCAAGGGCATGGGCCCTCAGTAAGATGTGCACATACCAGGAAAAATTTATGTCAACCTCACGTCAGTCTACATTGTACCTTCAACGTACCTACATTTTTAGTTTTAAGTGTTGTAACGTACTTTTCTTGTGCTACAGATCAACAATGATACAAATCTTCTTCCCTGGGTTAATCTAAACCTGCGCTGGAATGACACTCGTGGGGATACCGTGATTACCACCCGGTGTATTGTTGATATGTTGTGTGATGGAGTCTCTGCATTTATTGGTCCTGAAGGGCCATGTCATGTGGAGGCCATTGTTGCTCAGTCTAGAAACATACCTATGATAAGTTATGTATGTAAATATTTAAACGAACTCACTCCAATTCAATTTTTTAGTGTTCTTCTATACTAACTTTCTGTATCTTCTTTTTCAGAAATGTTCAGATTACAAGGCATCAATGGCCTCCACTTTTGCAAGGACAGAGCCACCAGATATTCAGGTAAAATTAGAAAATACTCAAATTTTGAATGGACTCGAATTTTAATTTATTAAGAATTTCTTTGTGCATGTTCATCTTTTTGTTCAAATACAGGTTACAAAATCTTTGATCTCATTGCTCCGTTATTACCATTGGGCAAAATTTACAATACTCTATGAGGAAACATGGAGTACTGTTGCTGCTTCACTTCATGATCAGGCTGTTCATAACAACATGTCTGTGCAAGAACAGTTGGAAGTAACTGATTCTCATAAGTGCTGTGAAGACAAACTAAAATGTTGCCAATCCAACTATTGGTATAGACTAGTTCAGAAAACTAAAAATAACACTCGCAGTAAGTTATTGTCATCATCATTAAAATAATTATTCAAATCATGATAAAGAAACATTATTTTTAATGTTATTTTTCAGTATATGTATTTCTAGGCAATCCCAACTTATTGATTGATTTGATGGGTGCAATGCAAACTCTTCAGCTCTTTGACCAAGGTGAATATATGGTCATCTATGTAGACATGATGACACACTCTGTAAAAGAAGCTGTCAAGTATTTATGGAGTGAGTATTCTGTTAGACTAAGCTGTCAAGTTTTCCTACCGTTTTTCTCTCATTGTATTTATTAGTAATTAATTTATATCCATTTCTATTTCTAGAGGTTCCGGATTATACCAGTAAACCTGATTGTTCATTTGATGAGAATTTTCAAAAGAGAGCAAGGTCATTGTTGGTTATTGTTTCTTCCCCTCCGACACATGACTACCAAAATTTTACTCAACGAGTAAGATATTACAATAGCAAGCCTCCTTTCGTGTTCCCCACCCCACCACTTTTTACTAGCAGTCTGTTTCAAAAGGCAGGTGATTCCAGATATTCTTAGCATTTTACTAAGTAATAGTTGAGAACGTTATTGTGATAACTAATAGTTCTATTCTTATTTGCAGCATGTATCCATTTATGCTGCTTATTTGTATGATTCAATAAAACTTTATGCCCATGCTCTGGACAAATTGTTGCGAGAACATTTGCTGAAAGGTGACTTAACTGAAGAAGATATTGATCGAATTGCTAGTAATGGTACTCATATAATTGAAAATATAAGAAATCAAACATACACAAGTAAGTAATTTTCAAAATATTGTGTACATTGTACGCTAGTGAACTGGACCTATAGTGTTTATTTCCGCTCCTTGTCAGGTGCTACCGGAGCTACAATTAAAATTGATGAGCAGGGTGATTCAGAAGGAAACTTTTCTGTCCTTGCTTTAAAACCATTTAAACTCAAAGTGGACAATTTTTCATGTAACTTTCACATGATACCAGTGGGACAATTTCATCAAGGAAAGTCGCCTGTGAGTAACTGTACTCAGACTGTAACTCCGCGGTACGTCTAGACTTCATTAATTTTGGTGCAGATTTTATCTAATCTTTTACTGTGTTGCATTCAAGGAATACAAACTCAACTCGCCGAACATGCAAATTGATTGGCCTGGTGGTCACAAACCAGAGGATGAGCCCAATTGTGGATTTAATAATGAGCTCTGCCCCAAAGATCATTCTCATCAAGGAGGGGTGGTTGCTGCTGGAACTTTAGCTGTATTACTTTTCTGTGCAATCGTTGTAACTGTCAGTATCTATAGAAAATGGAAAATAGAACAAGAAATTGAAGGTCTTTTATGGAAAGTAGATCCAGCTGAAATCCGAGGCTATTATCAGACTGATATGGTTTCATCACCTAGTAAGGTACTATCATAGCTCTGTAAAACCTGTACTAGTCTTAAGTCTGTTTATATTTTACTATCTTCTTTCTTATTTCTTTCATTTTTACAGCTAAGTCTTGTCAGTGCCACATCCTATGAGTCTCGTTACGGTCCTCAAGTATTTGCTGCTACAGCACAGTACAAAAGTATTGCAGTTAGAATAAAAGAATTGAAATTTTCCAAAAAGAAAGACATTTCTCGAGAAATAATGAAGGAAATGAGGCTTCTTAGAGAGATTCGACATGATAATATAAATCTCTTCCTAGGAGCTGCAATTGAGCCCATGCGTATTCTTCTATTAACTGACTACTGTGCAAAAGGCAGTTTATATGTGAGTCAAATACATACTGGTCAACTACCGGTAACTAAATTCTTTTTAACTCTTCTTTACAAATTTCATTATATTCTCATTTGGATTTCAGGATATTGTTGAAAATGAAGACATTAAATTAGATAAACTATTTATAGCTTCTCTAGTTCATGATCTCATAAAGGTGAGAATCCTTTATCCTAAATTACATTACTTAAAAAAAAAATGATAATGTTATTTATTGATTTCTCTCCTTATTTTAGGGAATGCTGTACATTCACAGTTCTGTCCTTGTCTGTCATGGGAATTTAAAATCTTCTAACTGTGTTGTGACAAGTAGGTGGGTGCTGAAAATAACTGACTTTGGTTTGCATGAATTGCGACACAGTGCAGAGAGTGGTAGCATAGGGGAGCACCAATATTTTCGAAGTATGTACACCTAACATATTTTGTCTTTTTGATATTCTTTAAAACATTGTAACATCCATAATAACACTTGACTTGCAGATCAATTTTGGAAAGCTCCAGAACTTTTAAGAGACAGTAATACATCAATAAGAGGAACTCAAAAGGGAGATATTTATGCATTTGCTATAATATTATATGAAATTCTTGGAAGACATGGACCATTTGGAATTCATAACATGGAGCCCAAAGGTAGATTTTTTACATAATATGTGTTTTCCTTGTTTTTATTTGTGTTCAGTTGGTGATATTCAACTTTTCTTTTCAGAAATTGTCGACCTCGTTAAACATCCTCCACCTAGTGGACCATTCAGACCTGATGTTGATATGCTTAGAGACAATGACAATGAATGCCCTGAGTATATATTACAATGCATGCAAGACTGCTGGACTGAAAATCCAGAGCATAGACCAGATTTTCATGCAATTCGGTCTCGACTGAAAGGAATGAAGGAGGGGAAGTAAGTATATTCATTTTATGTTAAATTTTTTACTTTCATTACCCTCAATATCTTTTAGTTCTTGATTATTCCTTCTTTGTTTCTCTCTAGATATCGCAACATTATTGACCAAATGATGGATATGATGGAGAAATATGCTTACAACTTAGAAGATTTAGTAACAGAAAGAACTCGTCAGTTGTTTGAAGAGAAACAAAAAACAGAAGATTTACTTCACAGAATGCTCCCTGCGTATGTCTCTTAAAGTTAATATGGAAATCTCTTTTCTTTATGCATTTGCACTTAAAGGTGATTTAAATATTTCAGGCCTGTTGCTGATCGCCTAACACGAGGCATTGGAGTTGAGCCGGAATCATATGATCTAGTTACAATATACTTTAGTGACATTGTAGGATTTACAGCAATGTCAGCAGAGAGTACTCCACTTCAGGTATGATGAATCTTTTCCAATTTTGTTTTTTGTGGAACATATTTAATTTGAATTTCTTTAAGTACTTTGTTCAAAGGATTTTTCTCCTAATTCATCTGCTTTCTTTTCAAGGTGGTGAATTTCCTGAATGATCTCTACACTTTATTTGATCGAATTATTAGAGGATATGATGTTTACAAAGTTGAAACGATCGGGGATGCGTACATGGTGGTAAGAATAGTTTTTCATTGCTTTGTCAAAATTAAATATTTTATACTGGCATATCAGGAATATAACAACATGATACTGACATATCAGAATAATATTCTATTTTATCTTTAGGTTTCTGGGTTACCTCTGAAGAATGACCGTCATGCTGGAGAAATTGCGTCCATGTCCCTAGAATTATTAGATGCAGTGAAAAATCATAGAATTGCTCACCGTCCCAATGACACACTTAAATTGAGAATTGGTATTCATACAGGTAAGAAAAATCCTAGATCTTGACTTAGATAGTGTGGCTGAATTCCTATGATGCAATATTTTAATTCTTCCGTTTCGTATAAAGGCCCAGTAGCTGCAGGAGTTGTTGGTCTTACCATGCCAAGATACTGTTTGTTTGGGGATACTGTAAATACGGCCTCTCGAATGGAGTCTAATGGAGAAGCACTTAAGATTCACATAAGTCCTCAATGCAAAGCAGCTCTTGACAAGGTTGGTGGTTATATCACCGAGGAGCGAGGTCTAGTCAACATGAAAGGCAAGGGGGAAGTGATGACATATTGGCTTACTGGTGCAACAGATAAAGCCATCCAAAAGCGAGAGGTTTGTGCTGTGAATCAGTATTGGTCTATTTTGTTCATTACAATTAAATCTGCCTTATGATGCAAGCTCACAATATTCTTTGCCAGGTTGATATTGCTGATTTACCTCCCCTATTTTGTCGACCCCGCCGAAGTCCGAAACTAAATACAGATTCTCGACATGCCTCACTTTGTGGATTTGGTGGAATACCTGGAGCTGGCAGCAGGAGGCAATCAAGTGTGCCTCGCGGTAACAGTCAAGATGTCGATAGTTCGTCTACTCTCGGCCTGGGTGGAATTTCAGGTGGGAGTGTCTTAGGTGGTGTTCTAGGAAGCGGTGGTGTTCTAGGAAGCACATCAGGAAATCTGGCGGGTGTTGTTGCTGGAAGTTTGAACAATAGCAGCAACAATAGTCCATCAGGCCGCCCATTCCGAAAAGTTCATATTGCTAGTGGAGGCGATGCTGCTTCTTCAAAATCTACTCTTAATAGCCAGGTTTGTCACATAGCAATTTTATTAATATGTTGGTTGATGTCCGTTATCCTTGACTCATCGTCTCAAATCTAATCTCTCCAGACTCTACAAGAAAATAAAACTGAAGATTTATCACAACAAACACAGCCAAGAACTAGAAGACTTCTCTCCTCTGTAGCCTCTTCATCAGCCACTGCCGGATACACTAGTGGTAGCGATGAAGAAACAGAGCTTTCAAAATGTGGTCCTGTTCGGGAATCAAGATCACTTGATCCTTTCCCCATGGATTTGGAACTAGAGAAGCTACCTAGGAAGCAACCCCTTCTCTCTGAAGTATGCACTTTACTCTCTTTGAACAAAGTGGTCTTTATGTCAATTTTAAATTATAATAACTATTCCTATTTCATTTTGTTTAGGTCCGACGGAGAGGGACAAGGTCCTTAGAACACTGTGAAACATTAGATCGTGTTCGCCCTGTATCAGATATTCCTTTCCGTTCACACAAGAACAACCATTGTGCCTTTCCAAATGGTGCTGTGTCTGGTGTTAGTCCTAGTACAATAGCTGGTGCAAGCTCAGAAGATGTTAGAGTGCCATTATTAGCACCAGCAGACTCACTTATGCCTTGTGGTGCTGTGATTGTACCAACAAAACGATGGCGGTCTCTAGAACAACTGAAACCAAATTCTACTGGCAACCATCCTATCTATTTAAGAGATGGGAAGAAAGCAGACGTTCAGGGCTCAATTAAAAGTTGGTTATTTGGTTTTTTTAATGGCAATGGGTTACGATCCAGTGAGACATCTTTACGGAAAGGAATGAACAGTGGATATAACGATCTTCAAAGTGAAAAGGAGAGTATAGTGTGAAAAAATTTCCGTGCAGAGAAACTCAGTGTATTATTGTGTGAATCAGCACAATTTTCAGTAGCTCTCTGAGTGAGTGCCTCTTTCTGTGATTTGCTGAATGTCAGAACCGTTGGTATTTGGCTTCTAAAACGGACCATTTTTTTTTTAACAAGAAAAAAAAAGCTAAGATACTGTTTTTACAGATGTGATGTTCAGTGATTTTTTAGTCCTCTTTAGATTTTATTTGCTTGTGAAGGGTCACTGAGGTTAGATGAGAATGCTGTATGCTTTTTTTTTTTTTAAGGAAAAAAAAAGGCACAAACAAGTAATTGTAAACCTTGAACCACTGTTCCCTACAAATCATCTCTCATACCTATTTTACTTTGTTTGTCATAAGTTGTTTTTGTAAATATGCTAAAGAACTCTATCTATCCATCAATCTTTCTATATATTTAAGTTAATTAATCTATGTAACCACTGAATAATTTTTTAAGTGAATTTCTTTTATTTTTTATTTTTTTGTCTTTTTGTTTACCTGGCTGCGCTAGCATGTGTTATCAGAAGAATGACACTACAAAATGCACAAAAGTGCTTAATTGTCACCATGTCACTATCATGGTACAATTTAATCCTCAGCTTTTTCTAGGATCCTGATAGGTATGTTAAAATACTAATTAAAATACTGTTTCAAAATGTGTACTTTGGAACCCTCTGAAGTTTGAAGTTTTTAAAACAATTTTCACATTGCAAGAATTTTTTCAAACTTACCTATTTATTTGTTTAATTTTTTTTTTTCATTGACATTTTCTTGCATTATAGGTCTTCAATCTGAGCTTATTGATTACCTATAATTCGTCGAAATTGGGTACTGTATATGCTTACAGCCAGACCAGAGAGCACACAAGCTTCCCTGCTTGCTGTACTCAGTCAATGATTATTGTTTTGAATATGAATTGAATATGAAAAGTCACCCGTATAGTTATGAGGCTCATTATTGTACACTGACCATTTGTTTCTACTTCTTGTGCATCACTACATCTCAATTTAGGAGAGAGATTATAGGCTTGACATGATTTCCGAAAAAATTAATTTGCTTTGCTGCTTCTAATTTGGTTGTCCTAGTTTTCCCCCTATATCATTGATGGACTCCATTGGAAGCTATTTGTGTGTTTGTTTGGTGATACTTTGGCAACCAAGCAAAGTCTTGGTACTAGTCTTTTTTTGTGTGTCCTGTATGCCCCTGTGTCCATATTATTTGCATGCAGAACAATCTCCCTGCTCATTTAGTTTTTATAACTCACTAAACTGCAACAAAACAGTTGCTATTTCAGCAAACTTTTAGGTTGTCACTGTAACTCAGCTGACTATTCTTGTTTTTAAATCAAAACATTCCTTCTTAATTAAAAAAAAAATTAACAAAAAAGAATAATTTTATCAGCTTAAAACTCTACATGTGCCATCAATTCTTATTTTGTGTGTGTGAGTGTGTGAGTGTGTGAGTGTGTGTGTGCATGCATGCATGCTTCAAACATTGCATGCTTGTTTTCATCATAATCATCAATCAATGCTGTATTGACAATAGTATAAAATACTATCGGGACTCAGGATCTATACCATAATGTTACTTCACATGGTTTTGGTTGGTAGAACACTTCATTATTGTTGGTCTTTGACTGATGTTTCAAAAACCAGCTTATTTTATTGCAATTTTAAAAAAATAAAAAATTGGACAAAGCTTTTGTAGACTTTTAAGTTTCCACTGAAAGAGGATTTTAAATGAAGGTATGTTGATTGGTATGTACTTTTGCTGTAAGCTTGCAGTTCACTTAGGTAGGGAACAAATGGACATGTGGATGATACTGAGCGTGAATTTGAAATTCTTTGCTAGTCACGACTATTCATGTGGTATTCAGTGGTTATAGAAATTTTGTGTGATTTATATGAAACCTGTGATATTCTCTCATCTGCTTCAAAAGATGGTTGTCAGTTTTCAAGGTCTGTGAATTTCAAAGACAGCAGACACAAAATTAACTTCTCTTTGGTTTAAGTAATTCATGTTTCTGTAGAAATAGATTAAAGGTACATTATAGTTCAGCTTTGACTTCATTGTTAGTTTGTTGCAATCGCTGGGTTCTACTTCAAGGGCGAGCATTTTCTCATCGGACTTGCTTGTGTGTATCTTTTCTTGGTCTTCATTATAGTGCTCATATGATTGTTTGGATTTATGTACCTCAAATTAAAAAAATTATGTTCCTATATACTAACCTTTTGTTTTGCACTCGATATTCAAATAGTGACTGTAGCTTTTTGTAAAATTTAAGACAGTCTCGAGGCTGCGCACAGCTATGCTCCGTCACCTCACTACCTGTAGTTTGGTGTGTTTTGAACTTGTCTGAAAATTGCTGTCTTTGAATTGTCTGCTTTGATTGTAAGTACCGTGTGAACCCCATAGAAGGGGTAAGTTCAAATAATGAAGAGAGTTGATCAATAACAGCGATAATCGCTTGCCCAACCTATTAAATGTTTTCTTACGAAGATTCGTAGTTGCCTCAGGAAATTGGTTCCACCCACCTTGTGTACTCTTACTTGAGCAGGTGCTGTGGTGTTTATAAGAGCTTTTTTTTTTGTTATTGTTGTTTTTATGGAAGACTGTTATTTATAATAAAACAATTTAATGTGGTAATTATTTTATGCACTGTAATGTGTTAAAACAAATGATCAGTACATTTGGAAACAAAGTAATGGAACGACAGATGGCTGTGAAACATAATTATATTTTATTCTTTTTTTTCTTTTTAAATTTATGAAATATACAGAGGATGTGCCAATTTTTAAAATGTGTATTTTGTGTACGATGCAGGGCATGGAACTTCAGCTCCTACCCATTGTGCTACTTTCACTTACCAATATTTTAAACGCAAAGATGTTTCCAATTATCTGATTAAAAAATTAGTGTAATTATATATGTATGCATGTACAGTTGTTTTATATACATACATATATATTTATATAGATGTTGCCGGTTAATGAGACTTGTTGAAGTAAACTTTACATTTTAAATGATGACATAATTGTTTATTGATCGTGGCGGTTCCTAAACTGTCACACCTGTGCACTTACCAATGTTACGACACACAAATCCGGTAAATGAAGCACGTGTGCCGACATCGAACGCCGGCACTTGACAGTCGCGATGCAGATCTTGGCCTGGGCGCCGTCCCCCTCCTCTTTGAGATAATGATCACAGGATTACGAGGCATTAAACAGTCTCTTATGGTGGATTTAGTCTCGTGTGACCTGTGCCCTCACGGTGAGGCTGCCCGACTGAGACTGGCGGCCCCAGAGGTTTTGAGGACTGTGATCGGCTGAGAACCTCTGAGGCCTCACCGTGAGGGTACGGGTCACACGAGACTAAATCCACCATTACCACCCTGCGGGTGCCGGGATGTAAACACGTACTGTGCGACCTCTGTACCCTCTGCCTCTGCCGGCGCCCTTCGAAGCGGTTTGCATTGCATTGCTCAAAGTCCTCAAACACCAAAGGCTAAACTTTAGACTATTTCTTGGCTTATTGCAATGCACAACTAATTTTCGAGTCTGTAATGTGGACTTCCATCTTCCCCATCAAAGGAAACGAAACGCTACATGGACCATCATTATTTCACCCACAAATTTCTTCCCGTTTCTTTCTCATTTGATAGTGGTGGTATGACAACAGCGCTCGCTGGGTTAGGGTACCCGCGCGGCGGCCCGGTGCAGCTGGCTCTCCAGACCCATGCCCAGGACGCAGACGAGGACGAGCCCCGCACCCGTCACACTCATCCAGTCGGGCACCTCGCCGAAGCCCAGCACCTGGATCGCGAAGGCCAGCACGATGTCCAGGGACCGCGTCACCGCCACCTGCAGCAAAGGTAAGCAGGCAGGCTGGAGGAACGCATCGACACACCAATCAACCTGTTCCCTCGCGGATGCTCTGCCTAACAACGGGACCGTCCAGAAAGAACGTCCGTTCATCTCAAATCTGTTAGGTCAACAACGGCAGCTTGGCGCCTGCGAGAGTTAGGGTAGGCCACACCGCCGTACAAGCATGCCCTGCAGGCACGATTTTGCCTACCCCCCAGGCGCTGAGAGAGCTGGCAGAGGCTCTCAGCTTGGCTAGTTTGTAACGGGGAATGGCGGTCTTTCTGGCTGTTCCCTTACCTTGCCGGCGCCCTCCATGCTGAGCGCGCGCGCCACGAGCAGCTGGCCCGAGAGGCCGAAGGCCGCGACCATGGCGACGAGCCCCCACTGCCAGAGGCCGTGGGGCAGGCGGATGTCGCCCTGGCGCGGCCCCATGTAGGCGAGCAGCCCGCCCGACAGGACGAGCGACCAGGCCGAGAGCGTCAGCACCACCACCGAGAAGTGCACGTCCTTGCACTTGCGCATGATGACGATGTTGCCGGCCGTGAAGAGGGTGGCGAGCAGCGCGCAGGCGTAGCCCACCACGTCGTACGTGACGGCCTCCTTGGGCGCGTGCGCCGCCGCCGGCAGCCCGCTGGAGCCCTGGGGGGTGGATAGCGTGGCGCAGAGTCAACAGGTTGCCTCACGTGATGATGTGGTTCGCTAGATCAAGTACTCTAGACGAGTGGCAGTGGGGGGTATCGCGTTAGCCAGATGGCACCTGGTTCGACTCGCTTCCTTGAATATTGTTGTAGATAGCATTCCACATTTCGGCGGTTATGAGTAAACACGCGTATGCGAGGGGGCAACCGCACTCCGGGAATCATGTCCTGTCTGGGAATCATCAGGATAGAAATTAATCGAAATCAATAGAAAACGCTTAAACTAAGTGGGAAACTAGAACAACTGGTACGGATCAGTCAAAATAAGCGTTTTCTTCAAAGGGGAGTTATTGCCCCCTCGCGCGTATACCTCGCCATATTACACACGGCGACTTTTGTGGTTCAGACCTGGAAGAGGAAGGGCGGCTTGGAGATGAGGACGACGCCCGTGAGCAGCATGCAGACGACCAGGGTGCGGAAGAAGCCGCACGGCTCGCGCAGGAAGAGGAACGACAGGATGAGCACGAAGACGGGCGAGCTGAAGATGATGGTGGTGGCGTCGCCGAGCGGCAGCCGGCGGAACGAGAAGAAGAGCAGGACGAGCGTGAGCGCGCCCACCACGCCCTGCGCCTGCAGCAGCCAGCGGCTGCCCTTGGGGCCGAGCACGCTCGCGCCGCTGTACAGCGCGACGGGCAGCACCGCGGCCACCTGCACCGAGGAGCGGATCACCAGCAGCTCCATGGGGTCCACGGAGCGCAGCGCCTTCACGGCCGCCGAGGACATGGTGAAGAACATCCCGGAGAGCAGCGCCAGCAGGATGCCGCACCAGTTGGTCTTCTCCAGTCCCTGCAGGGGGAAGCATAAGCGTGTCGTTGACAAAGCGGAGTGAGTGGGGGAGCAGTTCTGGTGTTTTTTGAAGGTTCCCCTGAGTGAAGTACCCCTCGGGGTCCCATACCAGCCGTGCGGAGAGAGATTCGGTGCGCGCGCGCCCGCGCCCGCCGCGGCCCCGCGCCCCCAGGGAGCTGCCCATGTCCTTCCAGGTGCCGTTGCCGGCGGCCGCGGCGTGGCCCCGGTGGTGCAGCGGCAGCGGGTCGTGCTCGTCGGGCGCCACCTCCGTGTCGGCGAGCAGGACGGTGACCTCGGGCAGGCTCTGGTAGTAGTGGTGCGGGGGGAAGCCCGCCGTGCTCAGGGAGCGCTGGCGGCCGGGCAGCAGCAGCGTCTCCTCGCTCGCGCTCATGCTGGAGCTGTAGCCCAGCCCCGTGGGCCCGCCACCCCCGCCGGGCCCCATCCGGAGCCCCAGTCGCCCCGACGCCCCGCTGGGGCCGCCCGCGGAGTAGGGCGGCGGCGGCGCGCTCCCCATCTGCATCTGGAGACAAACAAAAACACGACGAGTTTAGCCGTGTGCGCACGTTGGGATTGTTTTTCATGTAATTGGAGGGGGGGGGGTAGGGGGGCACATGGCCTATATTTTCGCCGGGTGACAAAGTAGAAGGCCATGATTCATCTTCTTGCGCGAAAGCTAAATTTAATTTTGTGACTGATGCAGGACGACGCACTCACTCGTACGATGACTGTTTGAACCTCACGCCAGTAGCTTTAATGACGTCATAACCTGTTTTTTTTTTCTCTGCTCCCCATCTGCACGTAGAAACTTAAGTGCCCGTTCTTGCTCATGCACATGAACTTCAGAAGAGGCGGCCGGCACTCGGCCCGTACTGCACCACTCATAGCGCGCCTCTCGAAGATCGTTGAAAAAATCGTTATCTGTTTCGCGTACCCTATGACGAGATGAGGGGGATCGGAACGGGTGTCACGTGTACCTGCCCGAACAGTACTTGATGCTGTCGAGTGCCGACCTGACAACGCCTTGTTGTCAAAGCGACTTGCTCAGATCCCCCTTTCACCCCCTCCGCCCCGCCCCAACAGTGGCGCAGATGTTTATTACAGCGCCACCTGTCGTCCCGCCGGATGTGATTGGGACAGGCGTGGTCACAGGTCACAGGTCGCGCAGGGTTCTTTTCCCCGTTCGGACGGAATTTCGCTTCGGGTTCTCTCCCTAGATGCCCCCACCCCACATATATTAAACATTAAACGTGGCGACGCCAGAGATAGCGCCTGCGAAGCGCTGGGTAGGCCAACCCGCCACGCTGCGGTGTGGAGCCGGCGGCCCGCCCGTCGCGTCGCCCCCTGCGCGACCTCAGACTAAGAGAAGGGAGCACCTTCTGTGACGTGGTCGCTTGGATTACGTTGACGTTTTGATGTCGCATGTCTAATATCGGCCCACTTTTATGTGGTATGAGTCGAATTTCGCTATCACTCTGTGACGAAGTTCACGAAGTTTTGCTTTGTAGAGTTTGCGAAGAGAGTGATCTCAGACTAAGAGAAGGGAGCACCTTCTGCGCCGTGGTCGCTCGGATTACGTTGACGTTTTGATGTCGCATGTCGAACATCGGCCCACTTTTATATGGTGCGAGTCCAATTTCGCTATCACTCTGTGACGAAGTTTACGAAGTTTTGCTTTGTAGAGTTTGCGAAGAGAGTGATCGTAAGTAGTAATAACAAAGCAATTGCTTCGAAAAATGCAAAACAATGATTCGCCGACCTGGCAACAAGATCTGTACGAAGTTAATTACAAAGCTGTATCCTCCGCAGTTTGACAAGGATTCTTGTGATTGCAAAGAACTTGCTTTGTAATTGCAAAGCACCCATTTCCCTCGTATCTTGCAAAAGTACTGACTTGGAAGGTTTTTAACAGTGCGCCATTCCAATTGGCGATGGAGCTTGGTGGAGCTATCAGTACATGTTTGTTGCTCCAACCCCACTTCTCTGCACTTCGCAGAGACTATCAATTGATTGCCATAATTTGGTGATTTTATGGCTCCCCCTTGAAGATACCCCTATATGTATACTCCGCGGAGCGAGTCTGGCCCTACCTAGCCAAACCCCCGTTGTTAGCAGGTGTGCATTTTGGTAAGTTCACTCACCTTATTGTATGGTAAAAACGACGACAGTTTGCAAGATTCCCGCTGCGGCACGCAGAGCACGGGGCAGGGCACGCTTGTCGCGGGTCGTCTGTCGAGCCACTGGGCGGCTCTGCAGCCCCCGACGCTGCCGCCAGGGGGCGCGGCCAAACTCATTTGCATTTTCAATCGCCAAAGCACCTGTCAGTCAGATCTGCCGGTTTGTTCTAGTGTATGGAGAAAAGGAAAGGTCCGGCATGTACCTGGCCCCAGGAGGTGGCGTTCTTGCTTGTGGCAATATATGGTCGCGGCGAGTTGCGGCCACAATCACACAGTGGGAATCTTGCAGTCAACGACTTCCCTCCGATGCAACCGAATCCACGGCACGTACACAGGACCTTTGGACTGCTGCCACTCAAGGCGGGGGGAGACGGGCTCGCTCGGGGGGTTGGTTGCATAAGCTATTTCAGAGGACTGGGAAAGAAAAACAGCACGTATAGTAGTACTCGATCCGCTGATAGTATTTCTCTTAAGAGGACACACCCCGAGTTCTCTACAATAACTTAATGGGGATATCGGGTAATAGAAGAAGCACGCTCGGTTGACTTTGTCTGTGGTTTTGAGGCTGTGCGGCCACAATAATTGAGTTCCCACAAAAAAGGGGCTGTCGGCGGGAGCGGCACGGCGACACATCTACAACAGGGACGTCGTAAAAACAACACCGGCATTTACATATCATTTTCTAAAAAACCTATAGGTTACTTTTTGTCCCATTTATTGGCTGAGCTTGCGAAGCCTTTGCTGTGATGTGGGGTGCAGGTAACTCTTTGGTCGTGTGTCTGTCTGTCTGTCTGTCTGTCTGTCGATCTGTCTGTCTGTACTGGCCCACGTTTCTCTCAGACGGTAACTTCAATTGACTTCAAACTGGGCACGAAGCTTCAGTATAAGTCGAGACGTAATGAGTTTAGTTTAGAAGTTTGATACTAGATGTTTGAAATAAACGATCGTTTAATTTGAATTCGTAGTTTGGTGGCGGCAGGTTGGTAGCACGGCGCTCGAGGGGAGGGGGAGCGCAAGTGGCTCCTGCGCTCACCTGAAGACTTTGATACCTTCTCAGCAGTTATGAAAATGTCAGATAGTCAAAACGAGTATTGTAGTTTTAGTTTTAGAGTTGCGGAACTTAGCCTGCGAAGTTTCGCGAGTGTCTGATGAGAAGGAACGAAAGTGATATTTGGAATGGTTTACGTGTTTACTTACGTAAGTTGGAGGGGGCGGGCGTAGTGGTCGGAGAAATGTGCAAAGGTAACTATGGTTGCGGGTTCATCATGACAAAAGAAAACGAAAATGTTTTATGCTCCAAGACGATCGGAATCGAAATGGCAGAGTTATGTTCAAATGTTCAATAAAGTGTTCAATCGTCCCTAGCGGCCAAACGGTGCGTCGGAGGTCAATTCTGACGGCAGTTTTCGCCCTCACGAACAAAACGCATCCCTCGAACGTCCAATTTGAACCAATTTGGCCATGGCAATCCGCCCATCGTTATTTGAGGGCTAATAACTTCTCCTTTTCGACTCAGATCGGCTCTGAGCTTAAGACATTTCCTTTTTAATTTTACAAGAGGAATCTTAATCTGGGATAACATTTTTAATTTGATAACTTTTTAAAAATCCAGATACTTCATTGGAAG